TAATAATAGATAAATAAATAATGAAACTAAAAATACAGCAATTGCAATTCCGTTAACAAAAAACTTGTAAAAAAATCGCGAGTCTTTTAATTTCTACGTGAAACAATTTTTTCTGAGTATTATTTATCAGGAAACGCAGGAATCAATGTTCATAAAAATACTCAAATAATTAATAATCGTTTCAAGAAATTTCAATAGAAATCTGAAATTAAACATAACAAATGAAGAAATTTATTGTCGAATGGATTTTAACAAATCTATTTTTATGGAAACAAAAGAAATTTTCAAATGACGCGATTAAAATTTTCGATAATATAAATTTAATAAAATATCTAAACGATTATTATAATGGCTAAATGATTCAATAAGTTAGTCAACTGATAGTTGATTCGAGAATCAATAAATGAAATTCCAAAGATATCGAGAAATATGGTGGATTTCATAAAAAGATATTTTTCGGAAAAAAGTTATAGTAATTGAATGAAAATTTATTTAAATATGAATTCAATTACCACAAATCATATCTTTCAAATTTTCCATTGATAAAGATTATATTATTTGCTCAACCATTTTACCCTACACAATGATCTAAAACATTTAAGTTTTTAATATCTCTTTAATAAATCAAAAAAATTTTTTAAACATATTGCAAACCTTATAAAATGCATGAAATTGCAAATTAATTTTAAATAAATATAATTTCACACATCCATTATCTAAATCTTGTTCTTAATTGATCACACATATGTGTGATCCATTCTAACAAATCGGAAATACTTGGTTTATGTTTCGCGCACGGTATCGCGCACTTTCTAACGCAACAATAACATAAGTATTAAAACTGAACAATATTTTTCTACTTGTCTCCATTTTTAAAAAATTACGAATATCCATAAAATTTTCTTTATGAATATTTGACATATAAATAATAGATTGCCATTCTTTTCAATACATTATCGATAACTATTCCAATAATATGTAGATATAAATCTAAATTATATATACTTACTATATGGAGGTTTCTCTGTTTCCCAGATGAGTGTGCCACGATGAAAGTAGACTCTGCACCGTTTCTTTTTCACTACGAATGTATTCAGGAGCACAGTCCTGGAAGATTGGTCTGAAATCTCCTGCATCATATTGACGGCTGACTTTGGCTGCCTTTACAAAGGTAGCTCTTTCAACGAAGAAATTGTACAAATGTCATTTCCACACCGATCGATTTATAATATACAAAATAATTAATACGAAAATCAGCAACAACTCTCACGAAACACAAATAATCGAAATACGCAACGACCTTGCTTGCTCGTTAGCTCGAGCACAACTGCGGCGCACGATCGACTTACTGTGAATCGTGTCAAACCGTAAATGTTCGGCTTTTATGATGGATAATGCCTTCAATCGGACATTTCTCTAACTACTAATACAAAACTCACTTGATCATTAATTTTAATTAAAAATAAAATACAATATAGATTTAATATGCAATATATTTTATTATTTGGTTTAAAATATAGATGAAATATAAGAAGAACTTGATTATTCAATTCATTTTTGATTAATATTTTACTTTTTAATCAAATTTGATATATAATTTAATATAATTTAATAAAATCATAAAATAATAACATATTCTAAAATATACTTTATTTAATTTTATATTAAAATTTTAATCATTATTCATATTACAATCCTATTTTATACTAAATCGATAATATTGAAATATCGAGTAACACCATCTATCGGATAGTTCATTTTATCATATAAGGATAATATAGATATCTGACAACTAAAATTGTCTCTACATTCTGATTTTAACGCGCTAAAAATATCTCTGCATGAACTCGTTACAAAAGATCCATAATAATTTTATTTTTTTATTTAAAGCGAGTTTTTACTTTATTTTTCTTACATAATATTTTGAATAGAATATCCTATGTTATTTAGATATGATGTAAATCATATGGATAATTTTACTAGCAATTTATTATTGTTGATGCTTGGTTAGGGTCCAAGAATATATGATTCTTCCCTGAATACGACAAACGCGAGGCGACATGACATTTTGTTGGTGACGCGACAACTTTCTGATATCGAACCATATCTACTAAACAAGTATACATTGTTCTATATCTTGCAGAATACTATCCCAGTTATTGTTTAACGTTTGGTGTTTCAGAAAATCAATCTTAAAGTACAAAAAAGAAAGAGTGAAAGTGATATAAATTGAAAATTGTTGTAGACATCGCATGTTCGCGAACTTGGAATGACGCAGACATCGTGATACGGACTGTACATCAAGAGACATAAAATTTTATGAATTTGAAGTGTTTGTATGGTTACAACATTTGTGTAGAATTCTAAAAAACAATAGCTCATTGATTAAAAAAATAATTTTTTATCAAAGTTAAACATATTTTTATTTTAATAAAGGTTACTTTTTTTTAAGTAAAAAAATATTACTTCATTACAAAAATAACGTATATAGAAAAACTATGGATGAAACTAGAAATTACATAAATTTAGTGCTAACAGTTAAAAAATATCCAGCGTTATATGATCTCAGTTGCAATGATTATCATAACAAAGTTGTTCGAAATAAAATGTGGAGAGCAGTGGCGCAGGAAGTAAACGCTTCTGGTAAGAATTTTTCAAAGATAAATTCTTATGAAAATTCAGTTGTATGTTTAAATTCTTTCTTCATGATGTTTTCTTCATAGCCGCAGAATGTAAAGAAAAATGGAAAAACCTTCGTGCCAGTTTCAGCAGACATTTAAGAAATCAAAGTACGGCAAATTCAAAATCGAAAAAACCGTATTACATGGCAGATTACATGGATTTTTTACTTCCTTATAGCAAACTTCGTAGGTAACTAACGTAGAAAATATAGAGAAATTAGTAATAATTTACTAAGTGAAGAAGTTATATTTTTTTTTTTTTTTTTTTTTTTTTTTTTTTTTTTTTTTTGG